ACCCCTGCAGGCCTTGGCCGGGCCGCACCTCCACCCCGGGCCTTGGCGTGGCTGCCCTCGAGTCCTTCAGCTCTGCTGTCAAGGGCAGCCACGCCAATCCAGGGCTGAGCCTCTTGGCCCTGTGAGGGGCTCCCCAGCACCTACACTGCCCCACGGCCGGGTCGTGAATAGGAAGCGGGACGAGGCAGAGGACTGCGGGATCCTCGGCAGCCAGGGCCTCCCCTTGGTGTTCCACCTTCCTTGGGGACCTGGACTCCTGACCCCTGCACACTGCGAAGCGAGTCTGTGCCCTGCAGCTGCTCTGTCCACCTGCCCCCCCCAGGGTGGCCAAGCCTGAGGACGAGCCCCCCGTGAGCTGTGGCACTGCCTCCCACCAAGCAGGCTGTCCACGCTGTGCAGTGGCTGCCCCGCCAAGGCTGTACTGCTGCAAGACTCAGACAGTAGAAAGAGAACAGTTTAAGAATAAAGTAACAGGCATTTTAGCTCTTGCTTTTTTAAAATGAGATTACATTTTGGGGAAATTGTCCCCACTGGGTTCTGTTGGGGCACTGGAGCGGGATTCACTGGCCCCATCTGTGGCTGGGGGCTATGCCCTCAGGGTGGGCCCCTGGCCAGGCCTGCCTCCTTGGACCTCCTCCCATCACAGGCCCAAGGGAGCCAGGCACCAGAATCCACATGCCCCGACGTCCACGATGGCTGGGCCCCTCCCCTTGCCGGTCCCTCCCAGGCCCACTGGTCCTCCGGGAATTGCTCCCCGGCTCGGGCCCTCCTGTCCAGGCCTCCGCAGGGCGCTCCTGCTCCTAAGCCACCGAGCTCCGGTCCTAATTCACGCGGCGCGCTCCTGGAGGGAAAGCCAGGCGGCGCCCGCGCCTATGCCGCGTTTATGCCTCGCGTTTGCGCGCCCCGTGTGTACTGTGTGTACGTCCCCGGGTCCATGCGTGCACCCACGTGTCTGCCCCCTGGCCCGCGCAGCAGGTGCTCCGCCAAGACCCGCCGGGAGGAAGGAAGCGGGTGCGCACAGCCAGTGGGTGCGCCCAAGGCGCGGCAGAGCCAGCGCACGCACGCTTGCGGCTGGGCTCCCGGCCACGACTGCGCAGACGCCGTGCCCCATCACTCTCGACTCGCACGGCGGCCCGGCGCGACGGTGTCAGGGGCGCGGTCGCATCTGTTCAGGATAAAGAAATGAGGGCGCGTCCCAAAATCGATGTCATCCGAGAATCTAAGATATGCGGTACTTCCTGCCGAGCCCGGCTCCGCCCCGCGCCCGTTTCCGCGCCCCACCGGGTGCGTCGACGGTCCAAAAGCTCCGCCCCCGCTGTCGGCCCCGCCCCACCAGGTGCCCGACGGGCCAGAAGCACCGCCCACCCGCGCAGGCGCGGAGCCCCCGAGCCCGCCCCGCCGGCCACGGACACGCGCAGTCGCAACCATGGCGGACCCTGACCTGCATCTGGTGGCGCGGCGCATCCGCAGCTTCCCTGACTTCCCCGTCCCGGGCGTGCTGTTCAGGTGCGGACGCAGGGGAAATGTGCCCTGAAGTCATTGTTCCCCGTGGGGTGGGCGCGCGGAGGGCCGCCCGTGGACGGGGCTGTCGGGCTGCCCGGGCGCCGCGCGGCCGCAAGCGGAGCCCTGAGCCGAGCTCCGAGACTACCCCGGGGTCACCAGGCCTGTGCTTGCGTGCCAGGGACATCTCGCCCCTCCTGAAGGACCCTGATTCCTTCCGCGCCTCCATCAGCCTCCTGGCGAATCACCTGAAAAAGACCCACGGCGGCAAGATCGACTACATCGCGGGCAAGTGGCCGGCAGGGGCAGCCCTCGCGCGTCTCGGGCTGCGCTGCCCTGGGGTCTCCAGGGCCTGGACAGTCGCCGGGGGTCACTGGCCCCGTGCCAACCTCTTGAGGGCCCCTTTCCCCTTGGCCTCTGTCTGGCGGGGTCCTTCGGGGCGCCCGCCGACACTGGCGCCAGGTGCTTGGGTGGTGACCCTCGCGTGGGCCGTAACGATAGACCCGTGGCCCTCAGGCCCCCACTTTGCAGCCGGGTGGGTGGTGGGGCCACGTGGCTGAAGTTATCTGGGGAGTGTCTGACCAAAATCCACCGGGCCAAGTGCGCTTTCTTGTGTTCCTTTTGCAAGCGTGCACTGACTTCCTGTTGGTTGCGCCCTTTATCCGATGCTGGGGTGCGATGCTTCGGCAAGGCTGAGGTCTGGGAAGCAGGGGGGACCTCGCAGCAGAGCCCCACCCCTGAGCCTCCCGTCCCTGACGGTGCCCCCTCACTTGGCTGTGTGCAGTGGAGGATTCCTCCTTCCAGAAGCCCTCCCTCTCCACCCTCCTGGGCGGGGGCTCCGAGCCTCCTGGCCACAGCTCGGGCCACCACGGGAGTTGGCTGGTGCCTGTCAGGGCCTCTCCTTCCGGATTAGAAGCGCTTGCCGCAGGCACTTCCTGGGAATGTCACGGTTGCCTATGAGATTGTTCCATAGTCACTACAGCCCAGTTACTGGTGAGCAGCTGAGCTGTGGCTAGAGGTCAGTTGACCTCCCTGGGGCCACGTAGTTCCTTGGCCAAGCTGCAGGGTGTGCCTGCTCCCCGCTCCAGCCCAACTGCTGCTCCCCAGTGCCCAGCGTCTATGCACAGTGGGTGCTCCAGCAAAAGGACTCCGTGCTACCACACCACACAGCTGCCCCATAACAGCAGCTCTTGCCAACAGGCCTAGACTCGAGAGGCTTCTTGTTCGGACCCTCCCTGGCCCAGGAGCTCGGCTTGGGCTGTGTGCTCATTCGAAAGCGAGGGAAGCTGCCTGGCCCCACCGTGTGTGCTTCATACTCCCTGGAATATGGGAAGGTGAGTGGGCTGGAGGCTGCCACTGTGGACCCTCCATTCCCAGAGGGAGAGTTGTGGAGTCAGATGGAGTGGACATGGTTGCTCAGAGAGGCTGAGGTGCTGGACCAGGCTCACACAGCCAAGAAATAGCAGGGTGGGTTGGAACTGGGGCCGATGGCCCATCAGCTCCCAGCCTCTGTCCACTGTGGACCATGTGCCTGCTTCCCATCTGCAGGCTGAGCTGGAAATCCAGAGAGATGCCCTGGAGCCAGGGCAGAAAGTTGTTGTCGTGGACGATCTGCTGGCTACTGGCGGTGAGGGTGTCCCTGGAGTGAAGAGGGCTGAGCACCAGGGGGCTGGGAGGGCCAGGGGGAAGCGGCTCCCTGCGTGAGAGGTCAATCAGGGTTTTAACACTCTGCAATGGACCAGAGTGGCAAGGCCGCGTGTGGCCAGATGGGGGCCCTGTTGCCATGCCAGCTCCTTCCTCCCAGACCCCTGGGGCAGCCAGGCTGTGGGAGCCTCACACCATGCCTCCCTCCAGGAACCATGCGGGCAGCCTGTGAGCTGCTGGGCCAGCTGCGGGCTGAGGTGCTGGAGTGTGTGAGCCTGGTGGAGCTGACCTCCCTGAAGGGCAGGGAGCGGCTGGGGGCAGTGCCCTTCTTCTCCCTCCTGCAGTACGAGTGACCAGCCCCATGCCCACTGCAAGTTCCAGCCTCCGCGGCTGCAGAGACCTCTCCTGGCCACCAGAGGCACTGACTGCCCACCTGGGCTGTGTCATTTCTGTGGTAGTGACTACAGCGCCCTGCCAGCTGCCTAGAGCCCTTCCTGTGGGCTCAGGGAACGCCAAAACTTAGAGCTAATCGTCTGGGACAGAGCCAAGCTCAAGCACTACAGATCCGTTTACAGTGAATAAACCTCTTTGCTAGAGTGGCTTTTCTTCATCCAGGTGCCCAGGGGAGGGTGTGGGGACCCCACCTGGCTGGCTGCATGCATCCCTTCAGAGCATGCGGTTCCCCTGGCAGCCATTCCAGGGCAGCAGGCAGGCGCTGCCCCAGATTTGATGGTCTAAGGCAAGTGTCAGCTCTAGAGATCAGCAGTACTGAAGTCAAGGTGTGGGCAGGGCTGGCTTCTGGAGACTCCAGAACTCATTTATTTGCACTTTCCAGCTTCTCAAGGCACCCACACCCCTTGGCTGCAGGCTGAACTGGAGATCCATCTTCAGACCCAATGGTTACCATCCTTTTTTCAATTCCATTGGATCCTCCCTCCTACAGGACCCTGTGCTGACACTGGGCTGCCCAGACAACCCCAGGGTCCTCTCCCCATTGCAGGATCCCTGTTTGCAGGGGTGTCATCCTGCCAACACTACCCCAACCTGTACACCTGCACCAGCAGCCAAGCCACCCTCCCCTACCCCACTTCCCCCAATGGCAGCAAAGATGGTCAACAACAGGAATCAGTTTAATGACGCACACTTCGAGGGTGGGCCTGCCATCCACACTGGCCTGAGACCCTCAGGCCCTGCAGCCACAGCCTGGTCCAGCCTCAGAGCCCCATGGAGAGTCAGGAGGGAGAGCAGAGTGCATCAGGATCGGGAATGAGAGGCACACATCTGTGAGGCTTACAGCGCCTCTTCAGCCCGGATGAGGTGGGCCAGCCGGGCACTGACTCCCGCCAGGTCAGCAGCCTTGTCCAGCTTGATGTAGGTGCTGGTACGGATTTGGTGGAGGCTGAGCCAGTCAGGCAGCAGCTCAGAGAGGAGTCGCACGTGACTTTCCATCTCCCCTGTGGAGAGGGAACACATGAGACTTGAGTCCTGGCACCACCTGGCCTGTGCACACCTAAAGGGGTAGCCCTCCCACCCCACCCTGAGATCAGCTGTGAGCCAGGCCTGGGCTGGGCCTGTCCCTGCAGAGAAGCAAAGGAGAGAACAAAAGATGGAAGGACTGAAGCCTGGTCAGCGACAGCCTCGTGGAGAGGTAACCCTCCCACTTAACCCAACCCCTCATGAGGGCCCCACAGTGGGAGGCCCGCTGCAGCTCTGAGGAACCAGAGGCCTTGGCGGGAACGAGTGGTCCCACAGGAGACATGCCACGTGAGCCGTGGGACCAGGCGGAGGCTCGGGGTGACCTTGAGGGTAGTGCATGCCCAGAGCACACAGGCACTCGCACACCAAGGGAGCAAATTCCTGGTGCCCACCCTCAACCTACCACCCAGCCCAGCCCCCACGTACCAGGGCTCATGGCTGCATGGTAGCTGCCCGCCATCCTGGCACAGGCCACCTCCATGGTGAGTGCTGGCTTGTGCTCAGACACAAAGATGCTGCGCAACACACGGGCCAGCGTGGGAAGCCGCTCAAGCCGCTGCAGCCGCTGCTCCTGCTTTGGGCACCGTGTCATCCGTGCCAGCTGCTTCTGCACCTCCTTAGCTCGGATCTGCAGTGTGCACAGGTTGCAGTTGGTGGGCTGCTAATCCTCGGCCCCCTGCCAGAACTCCCAACACTCACCCGGTCCAGCAGGTCCTGGGACACCCCCTTCAGGGCAGTGGGTGGAGTGGCCGGTGGGGTGGCTGGCAGTGCCGGGTTCAGGGACCCAGGGCTGCTGGGCTCCGCCGTGCGTAGGACCAGGTCACTCAGGGCCTTCTCCATCTGGGCCGGGTCAGAGGGGAGGGGTCAGAAGATACCTCCCCTGCTCCAGCACAGGGGAGGGCCCTCATACCCAGGCTGCATGGCCCCAGCAGAGTCCCTGTGTGTCCAGCCCAGGCCCAGCCAGGGTATCCGGGCCCCTGCACGTGCCCCAGGGCAGAGCCTGCCAGTAGGCAGTGTTCCATCATGGAGAGGGTGGGTCTCCCCAGCCCAGGGCCCACAGAGGACAGACATCCCTACCCAGCCTCACCCGGGGTGACAGCAGGCTGCGGGCACGGGCCAGCACCTCCTGGGCAGTGGCCAGCTTCTCCGCAGTGGGTGGTTGGGGCAGTTCAGCCGGCTCAATGTCAGGCACTTCATCCACATTGAAACGGGGGTGCCAGCGTGTCAGCCGGTCCTCAGGCACCACCATGGGGGGGTTCAGGGAAGCCAGGAAGGCCTGAGTGACAAGAGGGGGCACCAGGTGACCCCAGGTACATCAGTGGGGGGGACAGGGCAGGCCCATCCAGGTTCCCATCCCAGCTGGGTGGCCACAGCAAGTCACTTCACCTCTCTGAGCCCCAGGTGCTCAGCTGGGCTGAAGGCACAGTGTAGAGCACCCACAGCACCCACTGACCTCATCTCCAGCCTCCCAGGGCCTGAGGCCACAGCCCTGAGCTCCCTGCCCCTCAGCTCCAGTCAGACCCTCCCTCAGCTGGGAGCCAGGGCCAGGGCCACCCTGATGAGACAGCCATGGAGAGCAGCGGTTAAGAGAACACTAGATCTGGCCTCTGAGAGGGGCCCGTTCCCTGCTGGTAAGACAGGGCTGTGACAGTGACAGCAGGGGCAGCTGGAGCACTGCAAGAGGGGACAGCATGGCACCGGGCAGGGCCTGCCCGAGGAGACACCTCCCATCAGGCCCGAGCGGATCATTTGGGGGCGCCCACTCACCCTGTGATGCTCCCGGACACGATCCACCAGATTCTGGCTGAAGACCTGCCGCCGCTGCAGGAGGCGGGAGGCCGTGAGCTGGGGGACCGTGCCACTAGCCTCTGCAGGGAGAGTCCAGGCCTGAGCCGGGGGCCGGCTCACCCAGCCCCACGAGGCCCTGTGCCCAGCACCTCTCACCCACACAGCATCCGGGTGGTGAAATCAGGCTCGGAGATACATGCACTCGGCCACAGCACACTCACCCTGGTCCAGCAGCGGCTCAATGGTGAGCTGGTAATCGGACCGCTTGACACCATCCTTGAAGGTGGGAACGTTGCGCTCCTGGCGGAAGCGATAAGAAGTAGGATACACGGTTCTGATCTGGCCCACGTTGCGCTCCTCAAAGCGCCTGAGGAGAGTGCCAGGGTCAGCGGTAGCAGACAGGGCCAGCCCCCCATCCCCCAAGGGCCCACTCACTTGCGCATCATGTCCTGAACACCCTGCTTGACCTTGGCGAAGGTCACAGTCTCAGAGCGGTTGTAGAGCATGCCCACAATGGTGTCCATGCTGCGGAACATCTCGGCCAGCACCTGGTACTTGTAGGGCAACACGAGGCCAGGGGGCCCAGGTTGGGCCAGGGCGTGGAAGCGCTGGTACGCAGGCACCTTTTCACTGCCAGGGAGGAGCCAGACCTTGAGAGAGGCACCAGACCCACACCCCCTCCAGCACCCAACAGAGGCAAGGTGGTGGGAGACCCAAGCCCGGGGCTTGCAAAATTGTCCCAAAACACCTCACCCCAGTTTACAAAGTCCCTGCGTGGCCCCGTCTCCCCCACACAAGCACTCTCAGGGATGGAAACAGAAATGCCTGGCCTCAAACCCAGGCTCTGCCATGTTGTGCCTGGTTACCCTGGCACCCCCTGCCCTAGTTTCCTCATCTCCAAGAGGCACGTGACCATGGGACCCAGGGAGGGCAGACATGGCAATAAAGGGCAAATACCCAGTAAGTGCTGGCTGTGACATCTGAGATCCAGCAGGACCCCCCAAGCAGGAGGTGCCGCCCTCTTAGGTGGGACCAAGGGCAAGAAGCCAGGGAGCGGAGCACCCTGCCGACCACGCTGGCTCCCTGCAAGGGGCAGCCCCCACCCCCTGCCAGGCCGCCCACCAGCCCACCCTTTCCTGAGACCTCACCATGGCCCCGCTGGGCGCCCCTCGGCCGCCGGCGCGCTGGGTTCCCCAGCATCCTTCTGAGCCGTCCTCAGCTCCTGGACTCGTTTCCCCAGCTCCCGTGCCCGTTGCAGACACGACTTGAGCTCAGAACAGGTGATCTGTGAGCACAGGGTGCTGTCAGCTGGTCACTCGCCCCAAGCTGCTCCCGCTCCCCTGCCCTGGGCCCTGCCTCACCTTGTCCTCCTGGGCTGCCCGGAGGGACGGCTGGCCTGCTGCGAGGGCCGCCTGCTCCGGGGAGGCAGGAGCAGCCGGGGAACCGGGGCTGGAGACCTGGCGGGAAGGACCCAGAGGTGAAGCGGTGGTAAGACCCTGCCCTGCAGCAGCTGGGGGGAAAGGACTGCTCTGCACTGCGGGCCAGGCTCCTGGGTGCCCCTCCTGAGAGGTCGGGGCGCCTGGCATCCCCACCAGCCCTTCCTCGGGACAGTTACCCAGGCCTGACCCCCAGGCCCCACAGCAAGTCCCCGGCACTGGTCTCCGCGCTGCCCGCCTACCGGCCCCGTGACCCACCCGGCTGCCTCCACTCCGACCCCGCCGGCATTCCGACCCGGTCTCCGCGCCCAGGCCACGGGGCAGTTCCCCCTGGGCCTCAGTTTACCCTCGGTCTTAGGCGCCCTCCTGGGCATGTCTCTTCGGACCCCGGCCGGCGCCCTTCCCCGGCCTCAGGTTCCCCGCGCCGCGCCCTCGCCGGGTCGGCCAGCAGCCGCAACCTCCTGCGCGCGGGCGGCGCGGGCTCGTCGCGGGCGGGCTCGGCGGGCGGGCGGGCGCGCTTGCGGCCGCGGGCAGGGCTGGGAGCCGGGACGCAGGCCGCGGGCTTGGCGGGGCTCGGGGTGCGCCAGGCCGGCTTGGCCCTAGGGAGCGCGGCGCGGGGACCGGGGCGGCGGCGCGCGAAGAAGTCGGTGAGGCGGGGCTGCGCCATGGCGGGCCGGGGACCGCGACTAGGACGCAGAACGAGACTCAACGAGCCGGAAGCGCAGCCGCGCTTCCCAGCGATTTTCCCGCCGCGGCTGGCCCCGCCCCCCATGGGCTGAACCACCGGCGCGGAGCGCGGAGGCCCGGGAAATGGACGCGCCCGGACGCAGGCGCGCTGGCGTCGGGCGGGAGTGCCGTGCGCGCACGCATGCGCCGTAGGACAGCCCTTCCGGCCGGTTGCCGGGGGCGTCCGCGGTCCGAGTGGAGGGGGCGCGGGCCGCTCTGTGCTGCTCCGCGCGGGCGCCAGGCTGGTGCGGTTCCGGCAAGCACACGGGTGCTGCGCTGCTTCCAGCTTAGATTTAAACTAACAGCAGCCGACCCTGGGGCCTCCTGCTGCGCGGGCGCTGAGCCGGGGGGGGCGGGGCCTGGAGACTGATGCCCCCCGCGCCCCCCGCGCCCCTCGGCACCGACGGAGACAGGGCCCGCGTCTAGCGAGCAACGCGCCGCGGATGGCACCGTCTGGGCTGGACTTAGATGAATATGCCGAAACCAGTACAGTTCAGTAACGGCTTCTTAGTGATAGGGCGATCATATCTCAATCTGTGACTTTTTAAAAAGGAGGAGCTGTTTTCAAAACGGCTGAATCGGTAAGAAGTGTTAGTTCTTAAAGCCTAAAGCTTAGGTTGCCTGGGAAATTTGAGAACCTGATACCCGACAAGCAAGGCTCAATGCAGGTGGAATTCCTGCCACAAAAAAAAAATGCAGTCAAGTCTGGCCCCAAAGTGCGTCTACAGGCCTGGAAAAAAAAGAAATCCGTGAGGGCGTGTTTGCGAGAGGGCTGGGAGGGGACTTTAATGCCGCTTCTGAGTTCTGTGCAGTAAAGAGCATGAATCGTACCTGTGAGAAGTTCGGCCCAAATGTCACTCGGTGAGTCCGTCAAGGTTGAGGGTTGATGTGGGGTGGATGGTGAAGGGCTGAGTTTCCCCAGAGGCAGTAAAGGAAGTGAGCAATTAGACCCAAATTTGTAAACTGCTGGGGGGCGAGTTATTAGCCGGCCAAGAATCAGTGGCACTGCAGTTCTGTTAGAGTTTGGGGTTGTGTGCTCTGGGCCACCACGTAAAATGCATTTATTAATCAGAACAGTGGTTGAGGGTGGAAGCTGGAACTGACCTGCGTCAAAGTGGACAGTGCAAATCCAAGCCTGCATTGCATCGAGGAGGAACAAGCATGCAGGGTTCCAGAGCTGTAATGGGAGCGTAAGTTACGGGCACAGCCGCTTAAGAGTGGCAGGGACGAGGGCATCGTGTAAAGCTTTCAGCTCAGAGCTGCTCATCAGGAAGTGGTGTTTCTCCAAGCAACGTGGTGCTTTCCCACTGTTTCACATTCAGAAAATAAATACCTGGTCTCGAAGAGGTGAGTCAGCGGGCTCAGACCACAAGTGACAGTTCAATATCTGGCTCCTGGCCAGATGTCTGGCTCAGCCCTGCCCCTGTAGACAACTTGACAGGCAGGATGCAGCTGGGCCTCCCCAGGGCCTCCTAAACACTAAGCAGGCTCCACCAGCGTTTCATTTGTCCTGCCACTTGCCCACCCAGCCTGGAACCACAGTGATACCCTGGGCTCAGAGCTGGGTGAGGGGGCCAGAGGCAGGCCCCGGGCCCCTGAGAAATCCAGGAGACCACCTGGCCCTGACACAGCTGTGTGACTGGCCCACACCGCCAGGCACATCCACCTCAAGGGCACTCCTGGGAGGAGGCCTGCACAGTGCTTCCATCACTGGCCAGCTGCAGGGCACGAGCCTGACGGCAGAAGCAGGCCCCAGCAAGCCCCAGATGGCTCCAGGGACAGACCGCCGGACACAGCATCTAACCCAAATGGTTTTTAATGGAAGTCCTCATGATGGCCCAGACTTTAAGCTTCTACAAAGCAGCCTCTAGGCCTTCCCATGCACGCGTTTGCATCTTTAGCTGAAAGTGCCCCTGAATGCGTTTCTGTTTCTTCCGACCCTAGGAGCCTTGATTGAAGCCTGGGCACACAGATCGATCCATATGAGGCTGCATTAATAGAGGTACAGTTAGGTAAAAGCCCTTCTCTGCTCTGTTCTGCACAGGTTCCACCTGCAGTGTTGTGGTATGGAATGCCAAGGGGATAGAGATGCTAAAGTACCTAGAGGGGAGGGACCAGATGGCAAAGGGGCTAGAACCCTTGTCCACGGATGTTTATCCCGGAGAAACCTGGAGACCCAGGACTGTGCCTGGGTTCATTTGATCGACCGGTATTCACTGTGTGCCCACCGGGACCCCAGCTCCCCAGAGCCACACCCCCTGTGCACCAGGTTGAGAACAAGACAGATGAGACCCCTGACCTCAAGGCTCACATTCTAGTGGAGACAGAAATTATACATACATAAAATTTCAGATAAAGAATACAAAACCCAGCCATAGAGAGCCATTTTAGAACTGAGGGGTTGGGGAGGCGTCTTGTAGGGGATGATGTGAGTCGAGACCTGAATGTCAAGAAGGGGTGGTCCTAGGACGCTCCGAGGGAAGAATCCAGAGCAGAGTGAACTGCTTGTGGAGAGGCCCTGAGCCAGAAACAGAAGCAGAAAGATGGACCTTGTGGCAGCAGCAGAGTGAGGGAGGCAGGAAGGCAGACAGGCAGGCCCAGCCACATAGGGTCTTATAGACCACAGAGAGGAGGGGGGTTTTTATTTCATAGTGCCTGACATGTAGTAGAAAATATATCAGTGAATGAGTAATCAGGGTTGTACCTTGATTAAACTCACTTCTGGCACATAGAAGGCACCCAAATGTTTGCTGAGTATCTGTGGCCCCAGACAAGGTGTACTGGTTCTCTACTGGTGTGACAAATCACCCCAAACCTTAGCAGCTTAAAAGCAATAATATTTATTATCTCACACGGGTCAGAAATTTGGTAGAGGTGCAGCAGGACGGGTCTGGCTCAGGGTCTCACGAGGCTGCGGTCCCACGGTGACAGGGCTGGAATGGCGGGACTGCGTGGGCCTCTCTCTGGTCTCCCGACATGGTCTGTCCAGCATGGCGCCCTCAGGTAGCTCCCGTCCCCATGGAAGAGCATGCAGGCATGTCCCCTTTTACACTGAGCCCTGAACATCCTGCAGTGCCACTTCCACCCCTGCTATGAGCTGAAGAGGGTGCAGAAATCAGACCAGGCTCTGGGGAGGGATTTAGGGCCACCTGTGATGAAGCAAGGTCAAGATTACGTGGCAAGACGAGCTGTCCAGAGGTGAGATACTGTAGCCAAGCAAGGGTCCGCGGCCCGATGCACACTGCACACCAAACTCAGGACCGTAGCTTTTGCAAAAGGAAGGAGCTTTATTGCCAGGCAGCAAAGCAAGGAGAAGAGAGGCCGGGAGGGCAGCTCAGATTTGTCTCCCCCTCATCAGCTCCCCCTCATCAGCAAGAAAGCCTTTCAAGGCCTTTGGGGCACGATTAAGATGGCGGCTGTGGTGAAGCAGACATGGTGGCGTCTGGGAAGTGCCTCCTCAGGTCTTCCCACCCCCGGGTGACTGCCACGTTATCTGTTGCGTGCTGATTTGGAACGCGTCTGTGGTTGATTGCCAGTTGCCTTCTTTTATTTTATGTCCCAGAAGAACGAGTGGCACTCTTCGCCTCAGATCCTCAACTCCAAGCCCCTGACATGCCATTGTCAGTTCTGTCGCCTGGGGAATTTTTGTTCCGGGGCTTCAGAAACATCCTAACCAGGCAAATACATCTGCCCTGTGCAGGGTCCAGGTGACTCGACCAGTTGGGCCTGGACCTAGTGGGTGTCTGGGGAGGACTGCCAGGGGCTTTTCTGAAAAATAAGCTCAAGAGTGTTGATTAATGGTCTGTGACTGTTCCCTTGCAAGTCACGGTTTTGGGAGTAAGCCTCAGTGACAGAGCTGCACCAGGAGAGGGGACACACACTCTGAATACAGATGGTGCAAACCTGCTCACTTACTGTGTGCCAAGTACAGTCCTGAGAACCTGCCATATATTGACACATCTGAGCCACACAGCCACCTAGGACATAGGTGGTACAGGTATGCCCATTAAACAGATGAAGAAGTTGAGGCTGAGCCATGTGCCTGTGGGTGGTATTGCTGAGACTCAAACCCAGGCCTCACCTGGTGAGCTGCCCCTCTGGGCTGAGCCAGAGCCCACCCCCTACCCACACAGTCCCGTCCTGGGCCAGAGCACCACATCTGCCCGCACACCAGCTCCTTGAAGGGCCTGTGGGCTTAATCTCTACAGCAGGACCTGTTCTGGGTCTGGCACGTGGTGGGCATTCAGTGCCTATGGGGTCACCTAAGCTGTGGCCCAGAGGTCGGCCCAGGGGACTGTCCAGCCGTTGGTGTGCCTTGCCTGCAGAATCCTCAGCCCCACCCTTGTCTCTGCCAGCACACAGCTGTGCCCTAAGGCCTGGGGAATCTGAGGCCCTCCCTCACCTGCCACTGGGCCCCAGTCCCAGCTAGGGTCTTCTTCCACTGGACAGCTGCTCCTCACCATGTCCCTGCATTCACTGGGCTGGGCCCAGCCCCCAGTTAGAGAATCTGTAGTTTTAGAAAGCATTGCTGAGAATTCAGTGTTGTGCCGTATATCCAGAAGAATGGTGCGCAGTCTGCTTGAGTGTCCCAGAAGGTAGACACAAGAATATAGAGGCAAATCATTTATTTGGGAGATGGGCCCAAGAAGTAGGTGGTGAGGAAGTGAGACAAGGAAGGGGTTCATAAAACGTGTGTTCACGAGCAGGTGACCTCCATGCAACTGTGGATAAAATGAGAGTGGATTCTCAGCTGGCCCTAGTCGGCTAGCTCACTACACACGTGCGGGCAATACATTGCTACTGACTCTATATAAAGAGCTCCGCCCAGTGCTCTGGGAGACACGGTGGCACGGCTGCAAGGCTGTAGGAGAGCAGAGCAGAGGCTGGAGTGGTGGCAGCGCCGAGGACGGAAGCACAGAGGACGGCTGTGTGGGCAGAGAGGCCCAGAGGCAGAGACCGGCTTGCTGCATGCAGACTCGCTCTGAGTAAATGGGATTTTAGTGACTGACCTGCCACCGTGGAAATAAAGTTGGGTATAAACCCTTTCATCC